GACTTTTCCTCGCCAGTGACGCTGGTAGCAGCGGGTGAGACGCGACAGTTATGGCAACATCGGCTGGAGCAGAGGGCAACTTCCACTTCTCCCTCCTTCGAGGAAGAATCCCCCCACCCCACCCTAGGTAGGGGGTGTTCAAACGATGTGGTTACCGTGAAGTTAACCACTTAAGTAATTAGCCTTTTTTTACAATTGAAGTAATTAGCCTGATATATAATATATTATACACATATACTTAATACTTTGCATAACCACTTAAGAATCAAATGTAAGATAAATACACATATCCTTAACATAAATACATGTAACTAATACAAATTGATGCACTAATCGGAATATTTTCTCACTTAATAATAATGTGGTGGTAAATTGGTTATTTTGGTTAACCAATTAATCAAACCGATTAAACTTTAACTTGGTTAATTTGATTGTTGTATTAGTTTGGACAGTTTGGTTATGATATTGCATTCCATGGTGAATAGAATTTATGCTTATTTGATTTTGTAATTACATGGTAAACGTTTAAACACCCCTTCACTGTTCTCCTCTGCGTGGCTCCAACCAATTTCCTATATTTAAAACCTAATCCTTGGTGCATTGGATTTGTCGAATTGAGTTAAGGTATTTTCACAGCATAATTCATCGAAAACAGAATCAATGAGGATGTGTTACTCATTGAAAAAAATTTAGGATTCCAACACTAGTTTGAGAAAAATAAAAGAGGGCCAAGAATTAGAGCAAGGTTGTGGGATTCATTGGATTTATGGATTGTTGGCAAATTCTAAATTAGTACCTATATTTTATATATTTAAAATTTGGTAATTAAATATATTTTTATCGACAAATATCATTGAAATTAGATATCATTTGAATTCATGATCCAAAACACCAATTCAATACACCAATGCATGAATCTAATCCATTTGCCACCTATAAACATCATCAATATAATCTACTCGCTAATTGGGCAACATTTGAAAAAGCAATGCTTCTTTCACAAAAATTCCAACATCTTTCGATTTCTCAAAAAAAAGTAAAAAACAAAGAACTTTGAAGCTACTTCTATTAATTATTGATACTTGTATTTTACACTTGACATTGATACCAGGTCCACAGTTTTATGAGAAGTAAGGGCAATTTAATAGTGAAAGACCATGTAAATGTTAGAATCCCTTCCATCTCAATATTGAGAAGTTCTCTTCTATATTTACACAGCGAGATCATCAATGAACCAAAGTCCGAATTCTCTTTTTCTGCTGATTCTCTATACCTGCAAGAATAAACCATAAAGAACGTAGGGGTCGTTTGGAAGTTGCGATAGTTTTGTTGAGATTGTCATTATGCATGTATTGTTTACAATGCATCGTTTTTTTGTTTTTTTAGCAGAAACAATACATGGATTGTTTCTGTGATGTGACAGAAACTATCACTCATTTTGAGTGATTGTTATATCTCAACTTTTAGTTGTGATTGTTGAGATAGTTGAGTTGAGATTGTTTTGTCTCAGCTTTTAGCTGATGCGACATACACAATCACACATACCAAACATTGTGTTCTACAATGCATCAAATTCGACAATACATGTATAATATTATACATGCATTCTCAACAATACATCTATTTAACAATCGCAACTTCCAAACGACCCCGTAGTAGTTTTTTAACGAAGTTGGGCTAGGCCTACGTCTCCGGCTCTCCGCTCAAGGGCGTCCTCCCCTTGAGATCTTCGATGAGATTTTATATTGAGCTGTAGGTAACGTGATCTCCTTTCACAGTGGAGATCAAAACATACACACGAAACTGATCTCTAGTGCTGACTCTTCCAACCACAAATCACTATCACTAAGAAGAGAACAGCTATGAACAAGCTCTCACACTCTCAATGCTCACTCTCCTATTGAGAATGAGAAGCTATTTGATAGATTAACGGATAAAATCTCATTAAGTGCATCTCCAGCAGGTGATTGCTATTTCCTGTTTCCCTAATGGCTGATGGAGTGTACAACATATTTTCCCTTCATATTCTTGGGACATATATGAAAATGAAACAGGTTTATCATGCTTTTTCCTGAAGACATAACGGATGCTATCTACTAATTTTTGCAGGTTCTGGCTGCCGTTGTTAAAGCTGGTGCTTCAAGGCAGCATGAAACACTTGCTGAAATCCGAGATGCTGTTTTCTCCTTTATCAGTAAAATAATCAGGTTAGATAACATGAACCAGAAACAACAGACCTATGCTCTCTTCCTGGTCCAAGAGTTGGACGCTACAATATTTAGCAAATGGGACACGGAAAGTAGGATAAGCGAAGCAATATTTAGCCGTCCAGGACGTCAGACATAAGACAAGGAAACCAAAGTCATCAGGAGGGAAAACAAGCAGCAAGAGTTGACCCGCAACATGGCGCCCACCACCAACGAAGCTTCCATCACCACATCTGTTATAAAAAGTTATCAATACCAACATTAGTGGCAGGATTGAGGAACAACCACTCCAACAGAGCATGCCAAGCCAATAATAGATGATTCAACCCGAAGCGGGGTAAGATTACAGCCTGGTTGGAGAACATGACAGCTCCAGGATGTGATAACAACAAATTGGCTGACTAACCATGTCTTTCTTCGGATGCCAGGTAACTAACTTTCCACTCCCAACAACAAGATTGATTGGTGCAGGTACCAAATTCATCAACATTCAAGTGGTACGATAATGATAATGAGAATGCATGTACTTGACCAGTAAGTAAGAGGTTAGTTACCTAGAGGAAGAAGGCATCAATAAGGAAGGGATTGACAACGCCCTCCATTGAATAGCAACGCGTTTCGAGATTTTCAACTTCCAAGAATTCGTCTTCGCCTTTTCCTTCCTTCTTATCTTCACGGCACAGGTAAGGCTTCCTGTCTGTTGATTCCACGACCACCATTGGAGATAACAAAGAAACTCTGAAAACTGACAACCCTAGGAAACCTTTGGCCACCGAGACATACACAACACAAAATATGTTGCTCAAATGCCCATCCTCCTGCTCATCGTCCTCCAATAGTTCAATCACTTTGATCTCCTCAAAAGGATAATATTCATCTGGGAATGGATTAGGTAGCCATTGTATATCGGACATAACGCCCTCATCATTGACCACTGTGGCAAACACGCGATCATCGTTATGGAGATAATCGCAACCAACGACGATGAAATAACGATCCTGGCCATGGCCGATGTCGGCTATTTTTGTCTTTTTGAGATAGGGGCCACTGCTGGTTACCATACTTGACAAGGTTGTGGCTGTTGGAAGACCCCTCAAGGGCCAGAGGTCGCCTTTGCCATAGTCCCAGAGTTGTTTCTTAACATCAAAGATATGGGTACCATAATGCGTATATATAAAGAGCCTGTGGCCGATGACACCCAACTTGTGCTTGCAGTAACAGGAATATTCGGGGGATCCTTCAGTGTAGAAGGCAGGAGGAGGAAGTGTCTCCCAATAGTAAGATCCAGAATGATGATTGAATTCTAAAACCTGGAAGGCTAAGCTGGGCTTCTCCGGCCTTCCATGCTCATTGCAGAAATGATCTCCATGAAGCACATATACTTTTCCCATGATATTTGCAACGATTGGTTGTGGCATAGGGAGAGGCAAGGCATAATCAGGGACCTCGCGGAAGCATTTGTCGGTAGGATCGAATTCATACACTTTTTCACTTGATTGAAACTGGTTGCTGCCCAAAAATGAGCTACCTGCTTCGGTAGGGTTCAAATCTGTAAATTCTCCGCCGACCATATGAACCTTCTTATTGAACTTGACGATGCCCATTCCAATAGGCAAAGCACAATCCTTGTGCAGATTCAGCTTACAAATAATGGTTGGCAAAATAACGTCGAGTTGATTAACCTTTCCAGTATCTGGATTATCCTCGAAAGCCTTAATCCCCCAAATCGATGTATTAATCAAAGACGTCAAGTAAAGGTTTTTACCTTTCCATTTGGGTTCCGCCGCCGGCTTCTTCGACTCTGATAACTCGCAACCAGCTCCGGTCATCATCACTGGCGTCATTGACCCTAATTCTCCCCCTCCGCTCATCATCAGAATTCGGCACAAGAAAGCCTTCGGTTTGATTCCACTAACCCTAGACCTCGTTTGTCTACAGTCCGAGCGAGGGGTTGTCCAGGTTTTCAAAAGGGGATTTTGGCCTGGCTGGCAAATACAAACGCGGGGCATTTTATACGTTGATTTGCCCAATGGGCTTGGCCTTGTTTTGCTTTGATCGTTAATGTTTCTTTTCTTTTTGGATTGACGTGTAATGGTTTGGTTTGGTTTGGTTTGTATCGAATCGTACCAGATCAAATTAATGTTTAGATCGGATAATTAATTCAATAAATTTTATAATCATTGAACAAATGGATCGAAGTGACATTTAGACCGGGTAAAAGCAGACCGAATATAATGTTGGTCTGGTCGTTGGTTCTAAGATGTCTTTCACTATTGGACGCGATTTTCATGAGTTCGGTATAGTGCGAACATCACCGAACCGTCGCACACCCCTAGTTGGGCGGCTGAGTGGGGTTTGTTTTGAAATTGACACACCCCCTTACTAGCAAGTTGGTATAATTGTGACCCGATGTCCACCCAAGTTCTTCAGGTTGAGTGGATGGCGAATAGGTTGGTAGGATTGTGGGTCAACCCGCAAAAGCAATTCCCCAACTACCCATTAAGAAAGTTGACTAAGATTTATACTTAGTTTCTTGAAAATTAGTAAGACGATATCAATTTAGACACTTCTCGTTTTTTTTTCATTCGTGTAGTATTTGCATCAAATTATTTTTCATTATTCAATCAACCAATTGTGTAAAAAAAAATTAAACATTTTGTTATTTTGGTACCATTACTAGTTTATAATTTGCATCCCGATATCTAATGGTCATTAGTCATTACACAATGTAGTAATCAATAATAGTAGTTCAAATATTCTTTATTTTCCATCTTTAAAAGTTAGATGGCCATTGCATAGTATGATTAGAAAATATGATGACTATTTGATAATATAAACAAGAAATAGTTTTTTGTCATGTGAAAATATGATGGGTAAGCATTTCGGTGATCCGCAATTCGCCCACCACCTACACGAATAATAAGTGAGGTTGAGTGATTTATCGATATGCAATTCATCCACATCAATCACCCACCCGTTATGATTCAGATTATTTACTGGTAAATCAATATCAATCCATAGATTAACCGCCTACGTGCCCATCTAATACCTACTAGCTTGTACCCTTTTAGGCACGAATTTTTATCTTCAATTCCACATGAGTTTCATATAATACATATACATATTTGTGTGTTGATTTATGGATACTTTTGAAACTTTAAATTATTTCTTTTTATTGTTTTTTTAATTTTACTTGCAACCTAACAAATGGAATTATTCATTTTACATAGTTTAAATCTCTTTACTAATATTCAAATTTAAAGTTTCTTTATAATCGAAACTTTCATGTGACTTGATCGAAAATTCTTATACTTTAGGTTTACTGATTAGCAAGGTTCTGTAACATAAGTACATGTCATTTTTAAAAGTTCATATGAATTTAATATTTGTAGTCAATATAATAAATGTTTGGATCAATTTTTAAAGACCTTCACTTACACATTGAAAAACTTTCTCTATCAAGATACCAATAATTATAACTTCTGGTTTAATCCTTTAAGTTGAATTGTTGCATCACAATTTTAGAAGTTAACAAAAGTTTATAAGTCAACCAATCACAACGCTGTCAAACCTGGTTAAGTCATTGAGCAGGTCAAGTAAGGGATTTGAGGTTTAATGGTCTGATCGGGGTCCGGCCGGTTTGAATCGTTTTAGACTTTTTTTAATATATATACTAAATGTTAAAAACTTATTATCCACAAAATAAACTTACCTAACATCCATGATCCACTCACCATCTTCCTTCCTTTGTTCCTCTTCCTCTCTTCCCCCCTCTTCTTCTCCCTCTTTAGGGGTCAGACCGGGGGCTTTCTGGAGGTCGTTTTGAAACCCAACTTAGGTCGGACCGGGTTCAACCGGGAATCTGATATGGGTTTAACAACCTTGACCAATCAATATTTGAATAAGAATGACCAATCACCTATCTTGACACTCAACCATTGACTAGTTTTTTTCCCTCTAGTTTCTTAGGATGATAAATGTATTCTTAAATTTTATTTATGCTTACATACTTATAGATCTTAACCTCTTAGGTTGTCCACAACCCATGATGTAAAAAGGCAAAATACCTTTATAGCACCAACAGATTATTTCCAACCTATGGTGGGGGGGGGGGGGGCTAAAGGTCTAAAACATAAAATTAGAGACTAAAATAGGTTTAATTCATGGTGGGTTAAAATAGGGGACCAGTTCAGAAAAGCTGGCAGCCAACGGCCAGAATGACCGTCAGCCACGCGGACAGGGATTGTGTGGCACGCGCGCCGCATTAGGCAAGATCGTGCCCGTGTCGCGCACTCCCCATCCGCACGATTGGCGGTCTTTCTGAACGTTGGTGCTTTTTTTTCTTCTTTATTTGATTTCTGGTTTTTTTTAAACAATTCTATACACATTTGCGGTGCAATTTTCGACCGTTCGGGTGCTATTTGACGCCGAAAAGTTCTATAAAAAAATTTAGAATTAAATACCAACGGCTATAAAGCACGATATTCATAATAATGGCTACAAACAGTCATAAAACGGCTAGGAAAAATTCGATAAAAACCTCATCCATTTTGACCGAAGTAATCATTCATCAAGCGTATATGAAAAACTTCTCTATGACGCCTGGTGAAGCCTTGGCTGCCCACTTGCTGGGGAAGTAGTGCACGTTCATCATCCTCCATTTGTTGTAGTTCCAGTTGGAGCTCGTAGTCGAACATTTGAAGCTCTGCATACTCTTGCTCATCAGACGAAGAAGATTGAGATGAATACATGATTCCTTGTTGAGAAAATTTTGAGAGAAGTGAAGAGTGGAGGTGAGTTTTTCTCCTTTCAAGAAGCTGTATTATATATACGAGATGAGTGGTGTGAGTTATTTCAAGTAATAATAATTGAATATCCTAGTGTCCAATTCTGTATAAAGATGAAGTGATGGATCACTGAATTTTCTGGATACGAGATGAGTGGTGTAAGTTGTTTCAAGTACTAATAATTGACTATACTAGTGGCCGATTCTGCATAAAGAATTAAAGATGAAGCGATGGATCACTGCATTGTCTAGATACGAGATGGATGGTGTGAGCTGTTTCAAGTACTAATAATTGACTATACTAGTAGCCAATTATGCATAAAGATGAAGTAATGCCAAAATTTTCAAAATAAAGATGTGAACCATCAATTGAAGTGATTAACTAATTATTTTAGCTATTAAAAAAAGTATCTCAAAAATTTCTCAAATTTTATCGGAATATTTGTGTCGAATTATCATGAAAAAATATATAAAATTAAAATTAATAAAAATAACTTCAACTATTCATAAGTTAGGATTACCAACTACGAAACAGAAAATTATAGCCCCCGGATTGCAGCAGTTTCTATTTTCGAGGGGGCTAAAAGGCCATTTTAGCCTTAAAACCCACATTTTTTTACCCCACGGGTTGCGGTTAACCTTATAGCATAAGTCTCAGCCATGAGTTCAAAATTCTTACCCTACCGTTATTATATTAAAAATAATGTTTTCCAATGCAAAAAAAGATCCAAAATTAATTGATTTCTATATTGTTGAAACTAGTTTTCAAGCATTATGAGATTTTTAAAAAATACCATTAGTTTCTACTAGGAGCTCTAAAGCCCTTCAACAATTGCATGAGACGTCAAATTCACCAGAACCCTCTGGGAGATTAGAAACTCAAGCCACTCATGGGGAGAGGAGGGGAAAAAAAGATGAAGGTATTGACTTGAAATACCAGAGGCTTTAAAGACTCTGGAAAAAATAAAGTTGTATCGCTTATAGTAAATAAGAAGAGTATAGATGTATTAGGAATTTTGGAGCCAAGAGTAAGAGCTAATGGGTATGAGAAGATTATCAATAAGAAATTTCCTGGATGGGAGAAAAGAGTTGCCAATAATTTAGAGGGTCTCGGGAAGTTGTGGATTCTGTGGAAGAAGGATGTCAATCTGAGAGTGTTGGAATGCTCTAATCAGTTTGTTCATACTCTTGTAGGCTCTGGTAATCCCTTTTTCATCACCTTTATCTATACCTCGAATGAAGAAAGTGGTAGAAGGAAGTTATACAATGATCTTATTTTTTACATGCATAATGAGATGATAGTGTGTTACCATATCACCCAACTAAATCATATGTGAGATGAAGATGAAGAAGAGGGCTCATCATTTCTCTTGTTACGCCACTCTTCAATGAGGGAACGGAGGGTTTGATTAGGGGTCAATGTTGTGTGATCAAGCCTCAAATTTGTCATTGGCGAAGTATCCTTCCCCATCTGTAACCATTCCTCCATAGCTTCGCGCTCATACGAGAATCCATCTGCAGCTACATAAGGATTCTCCATCACATCCTGCAATTAACACAGCAAACCCACTATTTCAACAACCAAAACTGCAACACAAACTTTCCTGCTATAGGCTCTCCAAGAAAGTTGTTCAAGCTAGAAGGAAGGAAGGAGTTTCGTTTTACCCGCAATATTGGGCAAAGGAAGAAGCTGGGGATATCACTTGAAGATTCATCATCTTCATCACTTTCTCCACTCATTACTCTATCCTGACGTCCAAATCTGGAAACTATATCATCCCCCTTCTTCACTAACTCCTCTAGCTCCTTGAGAACATTTGCAGCGTCCAATTCTGATGACAAGCACCTCATGGCTATTCCAGCAATCTCCTCCGTGAGGCCCAATGGCCAGGGCCCAGCAATCTCATCCAACATCTCAACGAGGGCCGACCGGTCCAACCTCATCCGGCTCTCAACCGATTCGCCCCAGTTTTTCCCACTCAACAGATGGAGCAAGATGACTCCTAGTGCTCGAATGTCAGACCTGAGATCGATTGAGGTGCTCGGTCTAAACCCGGTTAATTTAGCAACCATGTTTCTGTCGAGAAGGACATTGGAAACAGTTAGTTTGCCATGGACGATAGGGTTGGGTTTAGCCGAGTGGAGGAAGGCCAACGCGGAGCAGATTTGGTAGGCTACTCTGATCCGGTCGAACCACTTTAGGGTTCGGTTTCCAGATCCAGGATGAGAAGTATGAGAACAACCTAGCAAATTGTCTCTGAGGCTGCCTTCATGCATGTACTCATAAATTATGCATTTTGGCTCCGAGCAGAACCCCATCATTGCAACCAAATGTGGGTGCCTTATGTTACTTAGGAACTTCACCTACAGAACCACACAAAAAAATTTGTGAGCAGAGGCTTCTAGGGTACACATGAATATTATCGTTGACACAAACAGAATCAAAATTGGTTCTCGTCATACCTGAGAAAAAAAGTCATGGTGGTTTGAAGATTCATGCTCAGCGGAGAACAATTTGAGTGCAGCAGTCTTCTGGCTAATCCTTCCACGGTACACAGTACTCCAATCATCCCCCGATTTCAACCTGAGCCCACCGGAGAAGTCATCGGTGGCCGATCGGACATCCTCACCACTATACTCTCTATAACTAAACCTCAAATTATCCCCAAACTTCATCATTACCCCACCAATGGCGTCTTTCTCCTTGCAGAACTCGATCCTCCGCTGGAGCACGTCTCTCTGCCGCCTCAATTCGTCGATCCCCCTCACCACCTCCGCCCTCTCCATCGATTTCCTCTGCAGCTGAGCCTCCGCGGCGGATCTCGCCGCCGTCGACATTTGGAGCCTGCTCGAGAGCTCCGATTGCAGTTCTGCCAGAGCACGTACTCTGTTTTGGCTGTCTTCCACGTCGCTCTTTACTTCTTCGATTCGTTCCCTGTCCGATTCCAGCTTTTTCGTTAATTCGCTCCGGATTGTTGACTCTGCTTTGATTTTGGATTCCAGCTCCTCAACCTGTGATGGAAAGGAAGCAAGTTGTTGTCTTTTTTTTCTATCTGTGTATTTTCCCTTTTCACCATTTTCTTAGAGACCAAACAGGGGAATTGGTTGAAACAAAGGGAGGAAGGCAATTAATTACCCGGGAGTTGCAGAGTGAGATTGCCCATTCGGCATTTGCAGATCTTTCAGCATTGGCCTCGACTTCTTCCCTCTTTAACTCGATTCTTCTCCCAACTTCTTTTATTTTGCTTCTGAGAATTTTCATTTTCTGTGCAACACTCTTTTTCGAGGAAATGAAATTTGTTCAAGCGAATCAGTTTCCCTAATCATTGTATTCGATCCTATGGTCTTATGGAGCAAGGGCTTACCAAATTATGATCAGCAAGCTGTGATCCAACATCATCACTGTCACGTGCATTTGGTTGTTTTTAATTTCCAATAATAGTTTAGTTTGTTTTAGCTGTTTAGTTAGCCACGATTCCCACTTGCTGAACGTGGAGTAGGATTAGGGAATTAGTTAGTTTTGGTTCAGTATTTAAGTTGTAAACGTTGGGTTGAGAGGATCATGGAATAAGATTATTGATTTGGAGGCTTATGCCTATTATCCCTCTCTCTCTTTACTTCTTCTCTCTTCTTCTTCTCATTCCGTCTTCTTCCTAGAACCTCCCCTGCAACTATCTGTTCTTGGCCTTCCTTATCTCCTAGCTTCCCCTGCTTCTTTCTTCTTCTGCTTCTAAACCTTCTCCTTTCTATTAGTCCTTTGGGTCACACCGCTTCTACCATTCTTCTCTTCCTATTCTTTCTCCTTAAATACCACAACCGAGAACCATAGCTCCCAAGATAGAAAAGGGGCTATTGCCATTGCCGAGCCCCTGGCCAGGAGTCGATCGATCAATCACCCGATCTTACGCGAAAGCACACAACATTTTGGTATCAGAGCCGAAAACCACCGCAGCAATCATGGAAGAGCGTGTTGCCCGTCTCGAAGCTGACTTTAGGGAGTTGATGACGACCCAAGCGACGGTGCTCAGGGAGATGCAAGAAAGTTTTGCAGCGATGAATGCTCGTTTCGATCAGATTGCTCAGCCTGCTCCTAGGATCAACGAAGGGGCCAGAGTCAACCAAAGGAACCAGCCGCAGGCACCAAGGATGAAAATTGAATTTCCCAAATTCAATGGAGTTGACGATCCCACCGTTTGGATTTGCCGGGCTGAACAGTTCTTTACCTACTGCCAAACCCCTGAAGAAGAGAAGGTCCTGGTGGCTTCCATCAATTTGGAGGGAGAAGCACAACTTTGGTTGCAAGTTCAGAGGGAAGGAGGGCAGGAGCTCACCTGGGAGGAGTTCAAACGAGATATGCACACTCGATTTGGCCCAACCCAATTTGAAGATTTCTTTGGGGATCTCACCAAGCTGCAGCAAGAGGGTACCGTCCGTGATTATCAAACACAATTTGAGAAGCTGCTGGTTCGTGCCGGGAATCTGACTCAAGCTCAACAGGTTAGCTGCTTTATTAGCGGTTTGCGGGAGGCCTTGCGGATTGATGTACAAGCATGTAAACCCACAACGTTGACGGCTGCAATTGGTCTTGCAAGGCTATATGAAGCGAAGGGTGTCCGAAACCACACTGCACCATTACCTGTTAAGAAGCTGAGTCCTGCCGAAGTGAACGAACGTCGAGCAAAGGGCTTGTGCTTTAATTGCAACGAGACCTTCCACCCAGCTCATCGTTGCAAGAAGCTGTTCCTACTGGAAGCCGTTGAACGAGGTGGTGATCATGAGTTAGATATGGACCTGGAAGACTCTTGATTCTTGAGGCCAAGAATCCTCTCAAGGAGGAAGGAATGTCACGTGCATTTGGTTGTTTTTAATTTCCAATAATAGTTTAGTTTGTTTTAGCTGTTTAGTTAGCCACGATTCCCACTTGCTGAACGTGGAGTAGGATTAGGGAATTAGTTAGTTTTGGTTCAGTATTTAAGTTGTAAACGTTGGGTTGAGAGGATCATGGAATAAGATTATTGATTTGGAGGCTTATGCCTATTATCCCTCTCTCTCTTTACTTCTTCTCTCTTCTTCTTCTCATTCCGTCTTCTTCCTAGAACCTCCCCTGCAACTATCTGTTCTTGGCCTTCCTTATCTCCTAGCTTCCCCTGCTTCTTTCTTCTTCTGCTTCTAAACCTTCTCCTTTCTATTAGTCCTTTGGGTCACACCGCTTCTACCATTCTTCTCTTCCTATTCTTTCTCCTTAAATACCACAACCGAGAACCATAGCTCCCAAGATAGAAAAGGGGCTATTGCCATTGCCGAGCCCCTGGCCAGGAGTCGATCGATCAATCACCCGATCTTACGCGAAAGCACACAACAATCACCTTCCTCTCCCTGCTGCTGAACAGAAGAAGTAGAAGAAGTCATCCTCTGCTCCTCGGTCTCTGCTTCGAAACTAAGACCACCCATCTTCATCGTCAACTCCTCCAGATACTTCTCGATCTCCACACCGTTGCTCTCCCAACAATCTCCTCCGCCGCCGCCTCCTCGACCTTCTCTGCAAGAAGAAGACCGCTTCTTTCTCTGGTTTTCACTGAACACTCTTCCAAGCCACGACGACGAACTGCCGCCACCACCAGTACTACTACTCCTGAAGCTAGGAATCGCTTTCCCCTCTTCGTCCTCCATCGCCACGCCCTCGTCGCTTTCTCCAACTGTCACGCGCACCAATTTTCCGCCGCACACTATCCACATCTCGCACCACTTTGCCTTCTTCTGATGGATATAGAACAGAGCACCAATCGTGTTCCGAGTTTTCTTCCTGTCAGCAGTAGAAAAGGGGAAAAAGGATGAAACTTTGGGGGGAATTCTAATTTTGAAGAGTTGGGTCTTCTTTTCTGCGATTATTACCAAGAAGGGGAGAATTTCAAGAATGAAATCCCAATTACGAGCGTCGAGATTTTGTGCTTTGATATCAATTCCACCATCGCCCTCTCAATCGGCTCTTCCGATTTCTCCAGTTTCATCACTTTCGCTCTCACCCCCTAAAAACGCCATGAAAATCATAACCCCCTAAATCAGGGATTGAAAATCAAAATCCGACTCCATACCTTTCCGCAGTAAGCTATATACTCGGACAATAACTTGTCGACTTTCCGCTGCTCGTAGTTTCTGAGAGCTTCGAGCTTCTCGTCGCTCATGGAGCTTGCCAGCACCTTCCCAACTGGAAATTAAACAATTCAGGATAAGATTCATGAAAATAGAAGGAGGGATGTTGATATATCCTTACAGTGGGTGTTGACGACATCGTTGGAGCAATCGGGGGCCAGATAAAGAATGACGATTTTGGAGATGCTGGAACTCCATTTTCTCAGAGTCCAATCAAGCGTCTTCAACCCTTCTTGCAGATCGTTGCCCAGAGCTACATACACCGTTTTCGAAGCACCAGTGGTACTAGAATTGCTCTCCACTGGAGAACCCATGGACGCCATCCAGCCGTGAAATCTCAGAGGTTTATGATAAAAAGATTTAGTCCATATATGGAACAGAGGAAAGACAGAAACAGAGTCTTGTGGTGATGATGATGATATGCCAAACCCATCATTTCATTTGAAGTCTGAAGACGACTCCACCGAAGGAGATTGAAGTCAACAAACTACAGGGATTTGTCAACAGAATAGACTCTGGAGGAAAAAGTGGATCCCAAAAGTATAAAGGAATCTAACATTATTTTGACGAATGACAATGGTCATCTCGACTAACCCCTCTTATCATCCCCGTAAATTATCGAGACAGGACAAAAGAACGCGCCTTTCTGATAGTCCAAACGTTTCCATCACGACGAAGCTAGAAAGTATCAGCTTCCATCAGCTCTTACAGTAATCAAATCGAGGAATAACACCCAAATTTACCCGGGTCCCTGTTTGAATGGGTCATGTAAGAGAATATCAAATCACGAATATCCTTCAGAGTCTGGGAGTTGAATCCAATACCTTGCATCTATCATTGTAGAACTTTGAAGTGTCCCTTTGGCCATTTATTTAAGTAAAAGTACAAAACAATTGAATCATAAACATCAAACGGGGGTGTAGCTCATATGGTAGAGCGCTCGCTTCGCATGCGAGAGGCACGGGGTTCGATTCCCCGCACCTCCAACATTTTCCCTTTCTTATTAGATTGATTTGTTTTGGGCTGGGGTAGCCCATTTACCGTTCATCGCAATTCTGGGCTAGGCCCAATCTAATTGGCTCCATTCGTGCGGGCTTAATAGCGTGATTATTTGTGGCCTTAGTGCAAGCTAGGCCTGGGCTATAACTTTCATCTACGTTTGAGTTTTGACAACATTCCATAGAAGTAAGATCAGGCCTGCTTCATAACTTTGTGCCTGACCACAAGGTTTGGACTCGGCTTGATCGCGTCGTGTTCAAGGTTAGAGGTACGGTTTTGTAGTAACAAGGTTTGTATTAATGACAAATTCTCTCATTAATACACCAAAATACAGACCTAACAATTTCGAATAACCAATATGTAGATTGTGAACAATAGATTATAGAATTCGTTCCGGGGTTCCTTACTCGTTAATAAAAAGCTTGAACGTTTTACGTTTGAATTTAAGAAAGAGCTAGCTAACAAGTGAAACTGTAAAAAAAAATAAGAATAATAAGCAAATGGTGTGTAAAGTAATAGTGGGAAAACACAAAACATGCATGCATGCTGGTCAAAAAGAGGAGGTGGGGGGTTTGTTCTTTTTAATTGATAAAATCCTCCAAGAAAATTTCTGCACTCTTTTCCCTTTTCCTCAGATTCTAAATCCTCTCCTCTTGTGAATGCCGAGAAATAAAGGCCTTGATTCACACCTAATAGTATATTATATGTGTACACACACGAATTGTCTATGGTCAATTAATCAGGAGAAGTGATTAATAATTACAGTGACAGGTGACCACGAGTAGTTCAGTTTCGATTTCTTCGATAAAGTGCCACTCAAATTATCCTAATTAATATACTTTTTTTATGGAAATTTTTTATCGGCAAATATTTTCTTACAGTTTCATATTGAACTATTATCAACTTAATTCGTGATTTAACTCATACAACCGACTAAGAGTCTAAGACCATAGAATATCACTAATACTTCTGGCAAATGGCGGTAGAAAACAAAGGTGGGATTGGTGACGAGGCTAACGTACAACTTAGGTCTTCATTAACTAGCTGCTAATTACCGACCAAATAATCAACCAAGGTAAAATGAGGATAAGACAAAATCTAAAAGGTAGAAAGCAGATGGTATGATAAGGGGAGAGAGGGAGAAGGTTAAAGATTTATTAAAAAAAGGTAAAAATAAAAGTTAATTAAGACAGCTGTAACCATAACCACCTACAGTTTATTGACCAGAGCTTCTTCTCTACATGACTACATCCATCCCCATGTTACGGCTGACTGAAGAATACACTTAAGAATAAGACGCGACGATGGTTGATAAAATTAATTGCCAAATGTGTTAATTAAGCTAAGAACAGAAGGCGATTATTAATGGCAGATCAGAACAAGTACAAGAAGGCAAAAAAATAAAATAAAAATTAAATAATGAGGTGCGTTTATGGTACATTTCTACTTTGAAATGTACACAGCACACGGTAATAAAAAAAATGTACACCATACACAAATGTCTCAGGAATCATTAAATTTTTAAAAACTTTATTGTTGGCGTTTGGTTAATATGATAATATAGTGTACAATTATATATATCACATCATTTTCTACTCATAAAATTTTTAGTATAATCACATAATTATAAATGCAATTTCTTCCCCGATAAGTGCGATTCTCATTAAACTCAATTGGACAAGGCCAGAATCGAAAATACAAGTTTGGTGAAACCCACCACCTGCACAAATAACTTTTACACCCCACCCTACACAACCTGAATCACCAAACTGAGCTAAACATGAGTAGAAGAAAATGCAACAGCAAACTCGGGTCTACTAACCCCGTACAGAAGAGCATCAGACTTAAAAGAATCAACAAGTCTCTCAACAGAAGTCGACTTTCCTCCAAAAAAATCCTGCAACACCTTTACCGCCAGATCGCAGCTATCAACCAGCACCAACAAAAACCAATAAGCTGTCTCTAGGGATTGGTAGCCTTCAACAGATCAATAACAGCTTCAAATTAACCAAACATCCCAACTAGAATCAAACTGGCATATGACGTCCCTTACAAAACCACATTCGCCACTTTCCTCGTAAAATCACAATCAAACAACAAGTGACCTCTGGATTCAGACCCCCTAGAGCAGAGCACACAGCTAGGATCAACATTTCTCCCCCGCTCAATTAATTTGTCTCGAGTCACGGTTCTATCTTTCATGACAAGCCAAGAAAGGAATCGATTACTAGGTATAGAAAACTTTGTTCACAATAGACACCACCACGAAACAGTAAGCTGCTTACCTCGCTTTGTATTTCACCGTAATATTGCCTTCCCAGGATACTTTCTCCCTGTGCCTCTTCACTGCAATTATTTGTACTGAACAATCTTCATAAATACTAAACACATAAATACAACGTATTATATTTATTCTCACGTTCTTTTTCTAATTGCTCTTATTCAATTGCATCATGAATCATGATGTGAGAATTTTGAGATGTATTCATAAAATAAAATAAAATAGAGATGAATCATAATAAAAATAAAAAAAATTGCTAGCCTTGCTGCATACTGTACAACTAAAAAACAGGGGTGTAATCTTGACGCTAATTAATGATTTGGCGAGGTTAATTAATTAACTGTGACAGTGATGAGGGGTTAAATTATCTATGCATGTCGGGGAAGAGACAGGAAGCGCACGTGCGTCGCCGAGATCACCGAGGGAGGATATTTTGAGCGAGAGAGATGCTCCCCACGTGCCGCTTGGTCAAAGGTCAAAAGCTCTCCCTCGCCCTTCCCCTTCCCCCGCGTACCCTATTATTATTTGTTTTATTTATCATCATTCATTCATATTCATCATTCTTCTTTTTTTCTTTTTGGTAGAAATTCCTCATTCTTCCTTTCTACCCTTTTTGCTTCCTTTCATTATGATCACTTTTACTTTTCTCTTCTCCCTTCCAATTCTTTCCTTTTAACATATTACTTAATCAGATGTGATTAAGGGAAATGTAAAGTACTTCAAAAGGAGTACTGTGGAGTGAGATTAGGGTAAGCTGGGATGACTAAGGATATGACTTGTGAGGATTGGATTTCAGCTTGTTTACAATTTGTTGTATCTGTTTCGTATCTAATTTTTTATTATTTATTTTATGTTTAAAGGAAATGAGTATACTATGAAATCCATTTTAAGGTGTAGCATGGTTTTAATATTTTTAAATTTGAAAATTAATGTCCGTCTGTGTTGATGTTTGAACAAAAAGAAAAAAAGTTTTACATTAATCATCCATTTTAAAGGATAGTGTGGTTTCAATATATTTAAATTCTAAAATGAATTCCCTCTATATTGATGTTTACATAAAATTTAATAAATTATATCATATTAAAATAAAATTTTAAAAATTGAATAAATTAAGTGACCTAGTCTGAAAGTACAAGACTTATATAATAAAATATGGAAATTAAAGTATTTAATTGATTTGTGATGAAAGAGATTTATAAAAGTCAAATCGCTGATAAGACACAAAGACGTATCCCTAACTTGTTTCGAATGCATTTGTCCGAAGAAAAGACTGGTAAGAGAATCCGTCAGAAGTAGAGGTGGCAATTAGGATCCAAATCCATGAATCCAATCCAATTCATCCACCAAATTATCCACCTAATCCAATCCATTTAAATCCAATCCATTTGATCCAAATCCAATTGGATTGGTGGATTCATGGATCAATCCATGGATCCAAATGACAAATTACGATTTGGTACCTATATTTTTATATTTTACATTTTGGTACCTAAAATTTATATTTTTATACGAAAAATATCATTGGAAAATTACGTTTTGGTACCTCAAATTTTTCATTATGACATTTTAGTACCTAAACTTTTCAAATTTTACATTTTGGTCCAAGCCTTTAATGTCATTTGGATTCATGGATCAATCCACCAATCCATTTGATCCAATCCATGAATCCACCAATCCATTGGATCCAATCCATTTGATCCATGGATCCACCAATCCAATCCACGAATCCACGAATCCGATCCAATTGCCACCTCTAGTCAGAAGAGTTTCCATATAAAAAATTATATAATCTTTTTCCAATCCGAATGCCCAAAATCTGCTAGAACCTTTGATGATATGCTAATCACGTCGATTGACTACAACTCTGTAGATACCGAGCTCTTTATAGACGTTTGTGATCTCAAGTGGATTAAGAACTCATGACTAGATTGGAAGAGATAAATACAATAAAATTATTTTTCTATAAGGGTTATATAGGTTACCTTTTGTGATTAGGTACTACTTAAAGTATTTGAACCTGAGACCTCCAGGAAAAATAAATGATGATATTCTGGTGGCTACTGATATACAAATTGTTTGAACTAATAAGAGAATATTATATATCAGAATCCTGAAATATTGGATAAGATAGGCTTTTGAAGGAAAGAAATAAAGGATTAACGACCGACGACTATAAAAAAGTTTGAAGATGACAAGAAACAATAATATCGTGAGATGGGATACTAGGGTGCCATTT